CCAGCACTTTTCCCAGTGTAGACCTGAGGGTTGCCCTAGCGATAACCGCAGACGCGGCCCTCGCATGGCGTAGATTTATTTGTGCAACCTTAGTGCTGGTCATCGTCGCAGTTATTGGCGTTCATCGTCTTCGTCCGTTGTCAGAGTTTCGTCAAACCCTGACAAGGTGGCTCTCTCCGAATTGTCATCAGCACAAATGGTCAGTAGCCCGAGGTCGAAGTCGTCTACACCTTCCATCTCATGAGGTAAAAGACTGACTTCCTCTACTACCGCGCTCCTAACTGCTGTTAAAGACTCCCCAGTCAGGATTATAGGGTGGGGGAGGGAAGATGGGATGGGGAGGGATTAAGGATAAGGACGTCGGTGCGGTGATCTCGCATGGAAACCAGAGTGGCTAGTATCACACTTACCCAGCGGGGGAGGTTGATACAGCGGCATCAGGTCACCATACTAGCTTCCCTCTTGGTTCGTGGTGATATGACGGTTGCCGAAGTAGCCGCCATAGTACCACTTAAGCCCCATCCCCACGGCAAGGAAACCGGCAGTTACTTATCTGCTAATCTGAAATGTATCATATATCTGTTTGTGATCACCGATAATAAAGGTTGTTGCTAGAGCGATTGGAAAACTTAACACAGGCAAACCTAATATTCGCGGCTTGCGTTTTGGTACGCATGCCGTCGAATTTGTTTTTTTGCGTCACCCGAAATTGACTTGCATGCGTTTGCATTTGATTTCATTGAGCGAAACGTCAAATCAAAATGTCACGCAGAACAAAAATTTGATATTGAGTTAGCTTCATACGCACGCCGTTCAATTTCGGTTGATCTCATACAAGTTGCATGTGCATGAAAAATTTTTGACAATAAATTGGCGGCGTGCGTGAATATTAGGTTAGCCTGTAAATAAACTTAAGTAGAATTTTAGAGCCCAACAGCTTTTGATTTTAGGATAATTCTTGTTTTGTGAAATCTGAAAAGATATTACTGCTATCAAGGAATAAAAGTTATGATATGAAATTCAAAATTTTTTGATGAGTTTATTTTTCAGTAAAAAGAACATAAATGTGAAAGCTCAGTTCAAATAATTGTGATAAAAAGAATTTTATTACTAAGTATAAGCGTCATGCATATTTTAATGGCATGGCCTATAATGTAAAAACTGGTGAAAATATCCATGCCTGGCCACGTTATACAAATATGAATGACAACCGTTTGAACGTCTTACCGCTTCAATTTCTGCTGGAAATAGACCAAAATGCATTTAAAATATTCTTGTTTTCACAAATCAGCCATAAAAGCACAAGAAAGTTTTTTCAAAATTTTAATTGTTATTAATTTTGAGTGTCATTCATTTTTGAATGACGCGTCCCCCATGGAATCATTAGTGTCATTCATATTTGAACATATTGTAGGGTGACCGGATCTCATAGAGGGGGGAAAAGTGTCGGAATTTTGTTCGTCTGGACCCCACAAAACGATTCCCCTTTCCAGATATTGACATAGCCGAAATTTGAGCGCGATTAAACAACGTTAGCCCGAGCCGCTCATCGCTCAAAGTTTGAAAAAATCAAAATTTTTGGTTAAAAAGCTGACATATGGAGCCATAACTCCAGAACGGTAAATAATAAAAACACGATTAATTTCTCAAAAGAAAGCCAATGTTGTTCTTCAAAATTTATATTCTATACATAATTGTAGTTATTTTAAGTCAAACCGAGTTACAACAGCGTTTAGCCTCGAAAACGTGACCTGGTACCAGTAGGAGCCAGTTTGCGAGTATTCTAAGAATTATACGGGTTTTTACATAATGTGTCTCGGAATTGACATTTTTGTATTATAAAGTATTTTGGAACACAATTTTTAAACTTAGAGCCTTTTGTTGAAGTTTAATCTTTTGTTATGTGGGGATTACCTAGCTAGTTTACCAAAGAAAGGCCCGTTTGGCAGGTAAAAAGGAGGGTGAATTTAATTTCTATTTTAGGGATGGTGATTTTACTTCAGCTGGTGTACAAAGCCGGTCCAAGGATAAAACATTTCTTGTGGGCTATCCCATTCACCAGATCACCGGTTGTAATCTAACCTCATATCGTCAAGTTTTGTGTTTTATTTTATCATTTACGTGCTGTGAAATTAACTGTAAGAGGATCAGCAAAACTTGCCTTACGAGGAGTGATAATTTTTTGGGAGAAAGGCTGAATCGCGACTAAACATGAGCAAGATGCAATACTAAGCCGCAAAAGCTTTACGCCGAATGGGGAACTCTTCAAAAAGACCGGAAGAAAACATCGGAAACGGTGAAGAACAAATTTAAACAGTTGGATGATCTCTTTGATATTGCTCAACAAGATGTCTTGGCTCTGATGAAATCGGAAGAAGATAAGGCGTTTCTTGTGAAACAGAGGCAGAAGGGCTGCCCAGGTTCCATGGTTGCAGTGGATCTCAAGTTGTCTCGAGCTGAAGAAATCAAGGCGCAAAAGGAGCTTGAAAATATGCACCGACAAATCCAAGAATAAACTTTTGATCTTGGTGAGTTTTTTTATTATTATTATTCTAAAAAATAGATAAGTAATAGATAATAGATATTAGATAATAGATATTTAGAAGTAGATAATTTGGTACCAATATATTATTACTATTCTGCTAAAACGACAAGTTCTTATAGTCTTTTTTCTCTTTCTTTTCTTGCTTCTTAGAGACGGAAGATGAAGACAAGTTCGAAGAAGAAGAAGTAACTCTGGATACAAAATTATCGTGGAAATCTAACGAGGAACACAAAACCTCTAAAGAATGGGCAGTTTTTGGGCAATGTAAACTGGTATTTGGTAAAACGTGGGGTGTGTCACCATAGGGAATCCTCTGGATTTATACCTGTATGATCAGACCCATAATTAGCTACGCGCCAGTGGTATGGTGCAGCAGATTCTCAATCAAGAGCGTGGGAAGTCTGCTTGCAAAACTTCAAAGAGCTACTGCCGTGTGGCGGTACGAAAGATTTCTCTACAACACGTGGCGTTGCTCTTGATGCACTGCTGCACTTACCGTCACTTTTTGTCTTCATACGTGGGGAAGCCTTATAGACCACCTGCAGACTAAAAAGAAATGGATACTGGTATAACACTGAGTGGAAATCGCTAGCGGTAGAGATCTGAGCACGTTTACCTTTGTTGAAGAGATTCTATAATGTTGAGTTCCCTGAGGCTGAATGCTGGTTTAATACCAGCACTGAGCCCGGACTCACATATAATCGAATATTCACTTATAGCTCCAAAACTGACTTTGGACCAGAATCAGAGTCTTTATTGGAGGTAATGGGGATAAGATTAACTTTTCTCTTGGCAAGTATGCTTCGGTCTTCAAGGCTGAGGTATTCACAATCCTCAAAGATATGGACTACGTGGTGGAAAATAGGTGGGGCTGAAGGAGTTAACCTGACGGCCAAGCTGCACTTAACGCACTACTTACTTTCATTTGCGCATATCGAAGACAAATTTCCTTTTAATTTTGTAAATATTTTTTTTTACAATAAATAAATGATTATTGAGGACTAGGTATGGCAGCACGAAATGTCACAATCTGCTTAATTGCCAGGTAGTTAATATGGCGCCCGAAAAGTGACAATGAAACTACCTTCTTTTTTGTATCATGCTACCTATATCTTCCTTCTCACTCATGTAATGTTTTCAGTTTTAAAAATTTCACTCTCCATTTTTGCGATACCGGCGCCTAAGAAGTTTCACTTCAAAAAAATTTAGTTACGCTTTAGTTCCAAAGCAGAAGATTTTCCGGTAAGTTAATTTATACCGTATAAGTTTTGCTACGTGTTAAGTTAGAAAAACTCTGAAAAGCTCCTAAAAACTAGAAAACTGTCGAATTTCGACAGTAATTGGCACTCTAGTATTGATTTATAAGGTTAAACCATCCAAATATAAGAATTAATATTGAAAAAACTGAATTTTTTCCGCTGAAATCCCACTGTGCGACGCAGGCTTTACAAAGCGCTTCTGCCAAGTCGGAACACGCAACCTTTACTTAGCGGTACATGGGACGAGAAGTAGTTTGGCTAAGTCCCTGAAGTAATCACTACAACATTCACCGACTGGCTTCGCACACACGCCATAATTTAGTGCTTATCTAGTGCCAATTTATGCCGCTAAAAACAATTAAGTGCTCTGCAAATTTTGGTAAAAACATGTGGTAGCCATCTCTTCAGCTGAAGTAAGCACTACACTATCAATATCTCTGGAACCAAAAAGCGCATATACTTCTACCTTACGGCATAATTTAGTGCTGAAAAAAGGGGCATCCCTACTCTGAGTCCTAGCGAAATGGCTAGTCCTATCTCACATACTTCATATTCAAAGGTTTCATTATCGATTTGGAAATCGATAGTGGTTCCGCATTTACATTCGCCTAAAAAAAACTATGTATATTTATAAAAGTACAATCAAATGTTCTAATTTTATTTATTGCGATGACATGAGATTAATCACACTGGATCACAAATTTTAGTTTGGTTTTTGTTCTCCAAACGCCACTATCCAATTCCTATGTAGAATTGCTCGGTGATTCCGAAAATCGAGTCAATTCTTTTTTCTATTGTTGCGTTTTGCTTTTAAACTTTTATTATTGTTGTTTCTGTTATAGATTGAATCATATTTTAAACGAAAATTATTACAAATAAATAAAAAACATAATTTGCAAACAATATCACTTTGAATTTTGTTGCTAATTAGTTGACGGCTTGCAAAATTTGCAATTTGTGGAGGGTGTTTCTAAATATTCGAATTAAAAATTTTGAAATTTTGATGCCAATTTTTTGAAGTTGATCTAGGCTTAAATTATTGTTCCTAAATATACCTAAGTATGTATACTAGAGTGGTTCATAAAAACACTCTTTT